ATAAACTCATTTCATCATATTCACTGAGAACAGTTTGATTGGCTCATTTTGTTTTAGAAATGACACAATTCTATTAATCTATATTTAGCTATCAGTTTACATTTTCTAGTGACATGTAAATTCCCCCCAATGCATCCGTGTAATAAGCCTGCTCTCAGCCATGGGCTCTCATTGGCTCTCTACATATCTATTCAACTAGCAGTTATCCCAATAAAATAATTTGTATTCATCTTCCTGATTAACAGTTGAATGTAGGTGTTTGTGTATATTTTGATAGGAAAGTTCTTATAAAATCTGTTCTTTCAGCCTTCTGGAAGGCTGTGAAGACCTGGCTTTTCCTCCAAGCATTCATCTAGGATGGGGATAAATCAGGAAGTCCACAGTATGAGTGGTCTGATGCCTGGTGTCAAGGGTCTGATTTGTTTTAACATTGTTATTTTTATCAATTGCTGTGAGCTGCCTAATATCACTGTATGAGATAGGCAGCCCTATAAAATCTATAAAAGAATGAAGGAGGGAAGGAAGGAGGATATAGAATGGCAAAGGAGGATTTTTCAAGACACCCAGAAGGACTGTGGAAAGAAGCTTGGAAATGACTGGAAACTTAAAAGGCTAACATGGAACTGTTAGTTTGGCTAATGATCCTAAAAGGATTAGGCATGGTTTGCACTACTGAAGGGTCATTAGCTTCTGAGTGGTCCAAAGTCCATAAAGCACTTAGGGATGTGATTCAAGGGAAGAGTACTGAAGAAGAGATCAGGAGCAAGATCTTATCTATTGATCACAGAGGACCCTATGAGGTTGAAGAAAAGTCTGACTTCTCAAAGCATTACTAGTTAGTTCAAGATCAGCTGTCAGTTCATCTGATTTAACTAGAAAAGCAGAAAATCTTGCAACTAAGACTGTAAACTTTTAATAGCTCTAGAAGTATGAATGGTAGGTAAGAATAAAATAATTTGCATACACATGCATGCTTAGAGTTGGAGTTAAAAAAATGTTCTCAGTTGTATTTATGAAATCCTATCTTACCAGAAGGTGAAAAAAACCTTGTTTGCATTTGTATACAGAGCAATTAGAAGCAGTAAATCAAAACTGTAAGCTCAATTAAACTATTTCTGTTATGTATTTTATCAGTACTGTAGTTTCAATAAAAGGGGGAAGGTTTTATATTCTCTTTCAATCAAAACATTTGCACCCTTAAACAACAAATTGTGCAAAATCTCTCTCTGGTTAGCAATATCTTAAATATTTTGTATTGCTTTTGAACATAGGAAACCCACTATATCCTGGAAATCATAATCATAAAATATAAATAAAAATTATTAACTGTCATAAACTTCTTATATTGCAGATATATAAAAGTACAGTTCAATTGTCAGTTTCATTGTGTCAGTTTCATTGTGTCAACTGCAAATTCATTGTGTCAATCCTTAGGTAAAGATACCATATTTTCAGCTCTACTCTGACTACATACTTAAGTATATGAGTAGTGGGAATGACTTCTGTCCCCTCCATAATCATGCTGATGCTTTTTAATTATCAGAGACAACCGTGATAAGGATCCTGCACTACTATAGCCCTAGGAGGCAATATGGAAAGACCTTCCTTCTGCAAACATCTTCACCTGTATTGATGAATGCCTTTGCTTATGAAATGTCACCACCATGACTTCAGAGGTGGCCAGGGCTCATCCCCTCAGGTAGCATAGTGAGATGTATACTTGGCTCCATCTTTACTAGCTTTTAAATGAACCCTAAAACATTTATATTTCTTGTAATTAAAGTATTTATATTTATATTCTTAGTTTTTTACCTTTTAGATAGATAGATAGATAGATAGATAGATAGATAGATAGATAGATAGATAGATAGATAGATACAATTGTAGTTTTTTTTAGCAAACAATTGCTTAAAGTTGTTTAATTCTTAAATTATCTTTTATCTCACTTTGGATTGTTTTAATGGTAGCAAAGTGAGATAGTAATAAATAAATGAGAGAGATGTTGGAAAGAAAGTGTACAAGCCATACTGTTATTTCCATATATGTACAGGTATAAGAATGAAAATTCAGAAAGGATTACTTTCTGTGCAGCTTTTCTAGGTTTCACACACAGACACACATAGAACAAATCTATACTGAAAAATTCTGATTTGGGGTTTGATATAAATATAATGATGGACTACATCCATAGTAATAATAATAGTAAGATTAGTCAGACAGTACATACTCTATTAAGGAGAATAATATTTATATCAAATAATATATAGTTGGTGCTGTAGTTGGCATTGCTTACCCTGACCCTAAAAGATACTTTGAATAATTTCAACTTTAGTTCTTAAAATATATTCTTCCACTTTTTTTTCATCAATAGACAGTATACCAAGGCATATAAAAGGAAGACAAGAAAAAGCTGACATATCAAACTTCTGAACTGACTGTTGTTAGAAGTGATGATATATTTGAAAAATGATAATGGACCAATTCAAACATTACACGGGATATGTGGCAGTCTCTCCGTATAATATCTGCCACATTTTAAAGATAGTAAGAGGATGGAGTGGCATAAGCACATGTAAATTTTCATGCTGATAGCAAGGAGAAAGTCTTTGTCACAATCTGCATGGCGGTCACCTTTCAGTTAGACAGCCAGTCTGGGGCCACAATACAGGACTAATTCTGATGTCATGAACTTGAAATAATCTCTCAGTTATATATAATGGCTAAAAACCAACATATAGTTAAATAAGCTTAAACTCAGTAGAGTGCTTAATTCTGTGTGAGACTATGCTCTGTCAGAAAAAAAGAATTATGAATTTAGTTCATGTAACCTAAATCTATGATTTGTAAAAAAAAGGAAAAAGGAAAAAGGAAAATTGATCAAGATAAATGTAGTTTTATTTCTTAAAGGACACTGATATAGGAAACATATTTCTTCTTGAAACATGCATAAAATGG